AACAGTTTGTTTCAACAGCAGCTGTTTTCCCCTCTTGGTGCCTAATCAAGAAAAGGAGAGGAGAAGAAAAGAGAAGAAAATCAGCCCTCAGCCGAGCACGACGGGGAAAGAGCACGCAGCTCCATCAGAATTCAGACACGCGTCTTAGATTGGCCGCTCATAATTAATCGGTTAATTTCTATAAATATTACATGCCTATTTTCCGCAACAGTAGCACACGTGATTCTAATTCATTGTTATAGATCTCAGAAAAAAGCTTTCAGGGGAAAATAAGTGCTTTCTTGTGAGGAAGTAGCAAAGCCTGGATAACAATGGTGAGCTTCAGTGCAGAATAAACTCGTGTGAACCTTTTGACAAGACTTAAAAATGTAAGCAAGGTGGTTTTTTTTTGCAGCAGTTAACAAAGCAGCCTTTAGCACCCTAGAGTTTATGTGGTAGACTTGTAAGCAAGCAAGGGAACAGCGATACCAGGGAGAGGTAATCCATAGAATTATAAATGGTTGTGCAGAAAATAGAGAATCAATAGTTCTTTAATGTGCACATTTCAATTGGACTCGCAAAGTTCACCCTCCTCGATATCCATCATGGTCAACAAAAACAAAAGATCAAACGGCTCGGTAAGACAATGACAAGGAGGTCAGAGTAGAGAGGTAAGGGACCGAGTGTTTTGAATTACAGCTACACCTCAGCATACACACACGCAGAGGCACGTGCTCACGCCCCAAGGTTGAGTCTGACAGGATGATGGCTGACAGTTTTGGAAACAAACGCGACGAGGAAGGAGGCTTTTCTTGTTGTTGTTGCATTTTGGTGCAAAACTTAAACAGTCTGGCCCTCCTCCAGGATGCAGGCTCATTAAATTTGTACCTCTAATATTGGAAAGTAATGGTCTACGACTAAAGGGACTCCTTGCTTCAGAGACACAATGACCTATAGCTAAAGAGGCACTGCAGAGAAAAATCCACTGTTGAGCATTTCCTCTTGCTCGTTTAAAACAGTTCGACACGGAGAGGGATCTAATTATCTGTGTTTAAAAGTTATGTCATGCTACTACCCCCTGAAGCTAAACTCAGACCAAGCATGCGGCTAAGAATATTCACAAAGGTTTACAACAACAGCAGCCAAATTAACCACAGAATTATTTCATTTTGGACAAAAGGAATGGAAATGATGCTGTTTCGCCTCTTCAGCGGTGAGGCTTAAACAAACAATCACAGAGGGAATAGCATGTTATTTCATATAGACTCCTAACTCATATCTTATCATTATACGCTGCCGCTGGTATGATGCATACATGCATACAATGAATCTTTAAGAAGCCTGTAGCATGTGTGCAGCTCGTATGGCTCTCGCATTAGATATCTATACGTCACTGCCTCGGAGCAAGAGAGAAGAAATTCCATATCTTGCTCCCTCGGAGTCGACCGTGATTATTTATTATTCATAGAACTGAATCCAAAGCGTGATTCATCGTGGTTGTCGTTTTCGCCTGCGACAAGATTAGGAGGGACAATCTGGCCCCTGTGACGTCGCATTGTTCCAGACAGTGAAGCAGCAGAGACAGCTGTGTCACTCCACTGTGGAGCAAACACAACGGCCGAGCTTTTGGACGGTAAAGGCTGAGTATGGTCATTACTGTCACACAGCCAGCGTGGCTCCACAGGTGGCATGTGAGATGAAAAAAGAAATGATTTTCACATTGATTGTTGTGTGTGACATATTGCTATTGTCATTAAAATGACTATTGGGAAAAAATGGTGTTGCAATGTCTGAAAGTGCTTCAAGGAACAGGAACTCTTCCGGAAGCTGAATGTCTAACTTAGGGATGCGAGATTACCTGTTTCACATGTCTTCTATCAATGTTTTGTGTTTCTTTGAAGATCCAACATTCGCTGCATTACTGGTTTCAGACCTGAACGAGTGATTCTGCTCATTTGTGTTTGTGCTTGTTGCACTGATGCTCCGCACCTCAGAGAATAGGCACTGACTCCTCACTGCTGATGCCAAGTGAATGCAGAATAGTACATCCTGTGTTGTGGCAGTGAAGTCACTAAAAAAACTTGAACGTCTGAGTGCAGTCCAGACGAACCGAGTTGAGTTCTTAGTACTCTAAAGCTACACAAATCAAATTTCTATATTAGTCAGTTGACTGTATAGTATAACAGGGGTTGCTCATAGACAACTGGCACAAGACTCTCAAGTTCCCCTCAGATCTATTGCGCGTTTCAGCATCTTTCAGCTCAATATTGAAAGTCTGCGCCTTTGCTGTTTTGATTCCATCTCACCGCTCTAATCATAACTGGCATAAACTCACTGTACCTACCCAGCAGAAAACAGCAGACAAAACAAAGGTGGTGTGTAGCTGGTGAACAGATTGCACCGTTTAGCAGCTAAAGAGCCAGAAATTTCACTCGGGAGTTTTATAAATAGACATAAATCTAGTCTTGTTTTTAAGAGAGGTTGTGTAATTTTTCGAATTGAGAAAAAACAACAACAATCTTCCTCTTACAAATGTAAAGCTGAATTCACAAGCTATAAAATGCATCCCTAGTCAATTGTTATACTCTTGCTGCTGCACGCCTACTTCGTCTTGTATGACCGGCTTATGAAGGCTTATGTCAGATAACTAAAGATAGATATTGCTGTGTGAGTAATATGTCTTTGCTATCTTTACAACTTCGCTATGCTTGTATGATTAAGCCTGTCACAAATAAACTATTCAGTGTGTCAATATTATAGTTACGTAACCTTGCTTGAAGTAATCCCCGTTAGAGCAGAGGATGCAAAGCTAATGTTGAAGTTGATGTGTCGAGTTCGAGTCTGAGTTTAAGTTGTCAAAATTAAACATCCAAGTTGTTTCAGTAGTCTTTGACTCTGCAATGAAACCACTGCACATCTTACCAGTCACACTTCACCCGTCCCCAGTGTTTTGAGGCCCCCGGAGACGTTCCTTCATCGATTCAGAGCACACCAACACGCCATCTTCCCAGATCTTTAATCTTTCCAAGTCTCCTCCTGCCTGCCAACCCAGGTGCTGCCGAGCCATCACTCAAGAGCTGAAATCCTGGCCTCTGTCATTTAACAAGTTCTGGAAGGAGCCTTCCTCGAGCAGACAAATGTGGGGCCATCAGTGCTGCCCAGATGCGAATTGTTTTTTATCAACCGTCAGAATGCGAGCGCTTAGTTGTCAGTACGGGATCCCTGCAGCGTGCCTGCTCGCCTGCCAGCCTGATATTCTAACTCCTCATCCAACCTGACGGCCGTAGCATTTCAACTCTCAGGAGACATGTTTTTTTTACAACTTCATCCAAGTGTGTTCCAGAGCTACAAGAGAGATGCTGCAGAAGGAAACCACACAGTCTGATCGCAGTTACACAACTACAAACCCTTCGCATTATACCCCCCAAGCAATTACATTCAGAAAGATGAAAACTGTGTGCATGCATCTGAGCAGAAGGAAATTGATGGACGGTTCGTACATGAGGTTACTGAAAATATAAGAAGAGAAGTGCACGCTTTTGTTTCCAGACGTTATCAGTTTTGAAGGCTCCTGCTGCCATACTGGAGTCTTGGAAGGCAACAACAGCCGTGCAGTGTGCATGTTTTCTTGGCATAACGACAGATCACAGTTCCCTTAATTGGGTAACATGATTTATATCCCTGCACACTGTTTTCAGCTGTCATCATCTGCAGACTACTTTGAAGTACACACTAAAACACTGCAGCCTGAATGACACAGAAGCGCTGACAATGATCCAAGATACTCTTTAGAATGTAAAACTGAGATAGTTTTAAATAACCTCATAACATACAAGAAAGAACATCTGTATGAATTTGTCAGTCTTCTGCTGCCTTTAAACACACACAGAATACATTTAAATACAGTTCCCAAGATGGAAGCGGGAATGACTGATTTCAAGCCGTTGTACTGCCAACATGCCACTCCCAAATAGCATCAAAATGATGTGGTAATGTGAGTATTCAGTCATTCAATCTGCTTGAGGCAGATGTCTTGCTGGGATATCTGCCTCAACGATGCTGTCTTGCTTTTCAATATGTGTGCATGCATGTGTATGTGACAACATTTGTAAACTGATATGGATTTTCTGCTGTCTTCATTATCACTCGAACACAACTGTCAGGCCATATGTGTGTGTGTGTGTGTGTGTGTGTGTTAGCGTCGGCCCTGATGGGCGTTACATCTAAACACTGTGAACATTTACATTCAGAGCACTCTTAATCCCCCGCTGTTAACCTCAGCCTCAGGTACGCATCCATCAGAGTGACAGATGTTTTACAGCTTGGTTCATTTTCACGTGCTGCTCTCTGCTCCAAAGCAGTGACAGTAATTATCAGCAGCTATTCAAACCTCTTGACTGGACAGAACCCCTCCCAGAGCCTAACTATGACTCTCATTAGATTTGCAGCACCTGATACCTGAACAGCTCCTTAGAAGCTGCCTGTAAGATACGCCAACAACAATCAACCGATCCTACGTGATCTTCTGACACAGGAAACACACCAAAAATCCAGCAGATAAATACCACAGAAGAAGCAAATAATGAGCTGGTGTGGGAACACAGAGGTGGGGCCAAGATGCATTTTCAGAAAATTATGAGTTTTTAAGATCTTCACAACGCTGGTAAAGCTCAGGCTTGTGGAGTTTATTGATCTTGGGCTTAATTTCAACAAGAAATGGGATGATTTTGGCAGATCATCTGAGGTAATGACATGAGAGGCTATTCATCAATTCGATCCAGCCTTATTTTCTGCAAGGCTTAGTACACCTTGTTGCTCTTTGATGGCAGCAACACACATCTGAATGATGCATGATGCTGATCAGACTATCGATAGGGGCTATACTTAGTTTGATCCCTGTCAGAAGCCTTTAAGTCTGCAGTGTTCTCTGGTCAACATCTGATGTGTGAGATGAGAAGTGTATCGTCGGCGTGCGCAGACTGCATGGGGTGACAAAGAGGAAGGAGATCGAGATAACTTACCCCGAGGATGACAGTATCTTCTCCTTGAAATATTGGGATGAACTTATCTCTGCGGATAATTTCCGACTTGTTCAGAGGACGAAATCGACACAAAACCTTGATATTGCATTCTGCGTTAGCATCTGCCATCGTGTGTGGGGGGTGGCGGGGGAGGGGAGGGGGGGGGGGGGTGGATAGTAGACGCGCTTCCAAAAGATAACGAGGAATTTAAATTAAAGACAAAATATTCCTTGTGCAGCCTTTTCCCGTAAACCACCTGGACGCGAGCTGAAACCACCGGCTATACCCACTTGCAAAGCGAGACCGGCAACATTTGGAAGAATGAACTACGAGTTTTTTTTTTGGGGGGGGGGGGGACTAAAGCCGGATTCTTTAAAGAAAACGTAAAGAAAGAACCCGTTTGAGAGAGTTTCTTGTTTCAAACGTCCTCGTCCCAACTCTGGTCCAGTTGAGCGGTGGAGAACAGATGGAGAGTTGTGAATGGTGAGTGTAATCCAAGCTGGTCCGGTCGGCAGTGGCTGCACGGTGCATCACTGTCATCCCACTGACTCTCACTGGGGGCGGGGCGTGGTGAAGGAGCGACTCCAAAAAAATCCTCCCTCATCAGGACCGCTGAGCAGAAGAGCAGGGACAGGAGCTCCACACTGCTTCTTATTCCCGCCACCACAACTACACATGGCCCCGAGAGAAAAGTTCACTTTTAACCATTAAACACTTTAGTTTGAACAAGACCGGTCGCCATGCTGGACAAACTGGGTGGTCACGTGAAAACCGATAGGCTCCGGTTTAGGCCGAATCCGTTGATGTGTCACTGCACTCGCATTCAGTTGCAACACTCCAGAGAGACTTGATTAAAAAGATATGTGGGTTCTGCCAGTGGCTCCTCTTGGCGTAAAATGTATAGACAAGAAACACAGTAAGAGAGAATAAAGCTGTAGCACTTACAATAGGTTTACATTTAAAACTGATGTATTTGCATTTGAATCAGAATTATGAAATAATTGCCAGAAAAATACAGCAAGAAATAGACCACAATATCCAGAGTTTCGTGCCATAGGGCTCTGGATGACAAAGCCATAGTCTGTGTCTTGAGATGTATTATTGGGCCTCAAATTACGCTTTGTCATCTATACCAATCATGTGATTGGTTGACACTAATGATTCATTGTATGTATGTTTAATTCAATGAATAATAATGTGTTGTAGGTTATGTAACATACTGTGTGCAATATATAGTAAGCGATAATATGAAAAACAAACGTGCATTACATGAACACACTCTTATACAGTATTATGTAATCATAAGAAGTTTCTTTGCATAGGCCTATGATAGGAATAATCAATCCCTGCACTGTTTGGTATGCAAGAAATGTGACATAGGGAACAGAATAACATTTTAAGACTTTTTAAGTCAGTGATTTTTTTGATTTATTTGACAGTGTTTTCAGGATTTGGTTTGGAAATAGTTGCTTCTCCTCCAACATGGCCTACAAAACGCCCACAATGTGTGCAGTGATAAAAATAAAAAATCAGGTAAAACATTGAAAAACGTTGCAAAATACATGATTAGTTAATTTAAATAAGACACATACAGCAGTACCGTATCATACTTTATATGGCTATTTACTGCATTATCTGGAATAGCCTAGTTAACAACACGTTAGATAAGCAGCATCATTCTTTCCGACAGAGTGAATCATCCTCTTAGTCGACTGTCTTTGGCCCGTTGATTGAGTTGTCTGGTCGTACCTTTAGCGCCACCGTGTGACGACTCTTCTGCAATTCAACCAAACAATTTTAGAAAAAAAGACAGAATCATTTTGTTGTTGAAGCGAATGAGTTGTTGAGTATTGTGTGAGTGCGACAGCAAATATGAAAAAAACGATGCTAAACAACAGAAAAGGGACCTTGCATTATATTCGTCAAACTGGGCGCATGCGTAAAGACGCTCCACTTCCTCGGGAGCGCTTGATTTGTTGGTTTTGGTACGCCGTTGGACTCTTCCCCGTCCGTGTAGCTAATACATCACCGCCCGTCCGCCTGCTCCTCCATGAAACCCAACGTACACGCTGTCAAATCAAGCTAGCGTAGTGACCACATCAGCCTGGAAGCCTCCGCCGGCTGAGAGACTGCTGGCTCATCTACCGTTAACTTGTGATACAATTTGATTTATTTAATCGATAATTTACACGTTTAAAGAGCTGCTAATATATTCTATCGTGGTTTATTGGTCTCGTCGTTGCTCCTCGCTGAAAATGGCTGATCCCAAATACGCAAACTTGCCAGGAATTGTAAGTGGCTAATGTTATCAGACAGGTTAGCTAGAATGCTACAAGGCAATGCTAGCACCAAGATGTGACAGCTAGCAGCTAAACTATCATGTTTACTATGTCGTCTGCTTATTGTTTGCAACTACCAAACAACTAGCGTTAAAACTGGTAGATTATTCGTGGCAAACATTTCTGTTAATATTGTGTCTTGTGATACAAGCTACCAAGTAGCAACGGCTAGCTACGTCTTGTTGAATGGGCCGGGGCGTTGGCCAGACTAATGCCAATAAACGGGATATCTGATAGTTTGATGTGTTGTTTACCTGATTGTTTTATTAGGCCTTTAACGAGCCGGATGTGTACGAGACCGGTGACCTCCCAGAAGATGACCAGGCTCAGTTTGAGTCGGTAAGTGGACGTTTTGTATTGACTGGATGTGTCCGTTTGCAGGCTGTTTGATTCGCTGCTCATTTGTTACCGAACTAACGTTGACAAACGAGGGTTTACACTTTGTTATAACGGAGAATGCATTTCTTTACGGCGGTACGTGCGCGTTACCCCTGCCATGATTAAACGCCTAACTACACAATAACTTAGATTACTGTTACTACCTTCACTGCAAAGCACTGATTGTCCCTCAGCAGTACTGTAAAGTAAACTGTGTCACTGCATTTGTGCTGTCCGTACCAACTGTAAGGTAAATTAGAAAAAAAGATGTCATCTATGGCCCCTTCATAAATACTTGTGTTATAATTGTGTGATCCATAAAACAAGATATGTACATTTTGTTTATATTTCATACAACATGTCAAGACGTCCTTTTCAGGTTACTGTTTAACTTAATCATCCATATATTATAAGCTACATATTGGTACATCTCCTGATTTATACATAGAGAGAAGGGACAGGTTGAGAATAGATCATTAAAGTCCCACGCAAGCACCATTATCTTTTAAAATGTCAGGGAACAAAATCTACTGCGGATGTTTATAACGATGTCATGAAGATGCCCACCAACTGTAACACTAAGCAGAGTTAGTGGTTTCAAACGTGTATTGCTGTGCTGGACGGTTTACTGACCAGCTGAGTGAATCCTAATTGGCATTTTCCCTTCCATGTGTCCACATTCGTTCTTCCCTTACCCTTGCCCTTGTTTTGACTCTGCCCCAACCCTCCTGGGACCTTAGTTTGTACAAGTAAGACTGGATCCATTTTACTCTTAGTGAGCTCAATGCCATGCTTTTTATGCATGTATTTTTTTAATCTCATATCCACTTTTACTACCTCTAACTGATTTGGATGAAATGGATCGATGGAGTGACCCTCTTTGTGCCCTGTAATTCATCAATTTCTGATTGTTTTGAAGTGCAAGAAATTGATTATTTTCCTCCTATTTGTGTTGCTCAGGTAGAACTCTTTTAAATGATTTTGATTGGTCTTCAGCAGTGCAACACGTACATTAGAGAAGTGTTCATTTGTTTTAGATATTTCCTTTTTTAAACCTATCATCATGTTCTAACAGTTGCTTCCTGCCTAACAACACTATTTTGACTAACTGGATGTTTCAAAGGCCCCTATAGGCTGCAATAACTCCTTGAAGGTGCATTGGTACATTGCTTAATAACATGGCTATAAATTACTGTAAGTTTTCAAATTTGAGACATGTCAGACTGTTGGCCAAATCCCTGGTGTATCCTAGCATAATTGATAAATGCAATCAGAAACATGCATTAACTTAACTAATTAAACTTTGGCTGTGGTGCCGTCACTTCAATGTTTTCTTCTTTGCCAGAGTTCCACAAACAGTATGTTTGGTTTATGCCTATTACTTTAATCAAGTGTGTTGTGTTGACCAGTGTATTCTACATCATTTCATATTAGTATCCACTGACATTATTTTGTAACACTGACCTCATGAATTTGGGCCCAAATTTCTGATCCTGCCAGACTTTTGACGCAGACTTCCTTGGTCACCAATGCCCTAAATCTGCCATGGATGGATATTTCTCGCAGCGCTATCTCAGACCTCCATCTCGGATTGATAACCAATGATATCATTCTGTTTGTCTGGGACAGACCAAAATCACTCTGTGTATCGGGGCCTTACCTCTGATATACTTCATTAACAGCATTGGTTAGGCCTTTTAAGTTTCTTGACCCGTCATTCTGCCTCATGGATTGTTTTTTAAAACACCATCCACAGCATAATGTTTTGAGACCTACAATGCCCTCCATGAGAGCATACGCTGGCATTGCATTATAAAGTGCAGTATGGTATCAAAGGAGAACGTAACTTGTTGGTGTTTTCGAACCATCTTACCCTGAAATCGGGGAAGAGAGAAAGAACTGGAGACATGATGAGCGGTCTGAACCGTGTCTCCAGGGTTTTTAACAGCAACTCTCAGAACACTGCTTTCTTTCTTATCTTTCCCCGACCCTGGCCAACTGTTCCTGTTGTGTGCATGGCATGTGATAACCACATTAATCTGTGTTGACTCTCTCTCTCTCTCCCCCAACTTTTTTTTCTCTCCCTCTGCTCTTCTGTTACTTTCTCTAACTCTCTTTGGAAACCCAAGGAGCTGGTAAGAGCCTGACTAACTCTCCTCCTCACCCTTCCTCCTCCTCCCTTCATCTGCTTAACTGTCTTGTGTTTTGTGGTGTTGCTTTCTGTATGTGAGCCCGGACTCATGTCATCTATCCGTCTGTGTCATTGGTGTTTTAATCCTACCGTAGCCTCTAGTTCATCATAATTGATCACGTGGAAGTTCTGATCAAATGATGCATGTTTTTTTTTTTTTTTTTGTTCTTCCCAGAATCACTAATCAAACTGTCGTTTAGAAAAGAAAGCGTTAGTGGCTTCCAACTCTTCATCCACGTAACATTGATTTTTACCACAGTAGACTTATACGACATGGATAACCCATTTTATTAAAGAATGAAACCTTTTTAAAGAAGGTCTTCAGCCTCTGCAGTCAGGCCAAGGATGAACTATGGCTGTGACACACATAATGCCGTTTCATCTCTTGCCTGCTGCTCCTCTACATTATGTTGTAATAATCTGGCTCTGGACTGCCCCAAATTTTGGCTGTAAAGCTGTTGCAGATTTCCATGATTCATTGCTACAGTGGCTTTTATTTTCTGTGCTTGTGTAACCTTTGTAAGTCATAATACACTCGTCGACTTAACCTCATAATTCATTTTCTTTTAAATCATATTTCGGGGCAATGATCAAACATATAACATGTTTCAAGTCTACCATGGGCTTCTGGCTCACTGGCTCAATAAGCCAAGGCTCATTTTTAAGTCTTTGTTGTATGTATAGTACAACATTCCCTTTTTAAGATTTTGTTAATGTTCATCTGACTTTATTTCCTTTATTTCAATAACAGGAGGAGCTCTGCAGTGACAGCGTGGAGAGGATTGTGGTCAACCCCAACGCAGCCTTTGACAAGTTCAAAGACAAGCATGTCAACACCAAGGGGCTCGGTCAGTTCACAGGATTATTAATCACTCGTCACTATTAACTTCACTGTATGAGGTGAAACAGAAAGGTAACATCACCTTTAGTAAATATATACATTACAAATATGACTGTTCAATAACTATGTTCATTTATACAGAGGTGTTTCTGTTATTTAACCTGCCCTCATTGGTATTAATGGGGTGGACAAAATAATAGAAACACCTCTGTTGAATGCAATACAGTTCATTAGCTCCACAAACTGCAGTCTCCAAAATGACCGTACATATAAATCAACACCATCTCTTCTTAGAAATTACAAATGATTGACAAATGATGACAATCTTCCCAAAGTTAAGCTTTATTGCAAGACTGTTGTATTACACGGCATCAGTTTTACTTAAGTGTACATAATGAACTGGTAACTGGTTGTTTTTTTCTGTTATTGTATCTGGTGTCCTCAGTACATTCTGTGACCAGTAATAACCATAAATACTAAGTATACAAACACAATTATTGTAATCTGTTTTTTTTTTTGTTTTTTTTAGAATAGCTTTTACAAAATCCAAAATGTACTCTTACTGGATAGAGAAATATAAATTACCAATAATACAAGATATACAACCTTTAATAACAACTTTGCCAAATACAAGACTGGCAGACGTAGTTGACAGGTGCTGTTGCTTCACAATGTAAACGGATCCATTCTTTTGTCGATTTTAATCCCCAAATCTTTATGCTGGGCTTGGTACTGACAACCAGTCTGCTTTCTCTGTCCGTTGTATTTCTGTTTGATTTCTAACGAGCCGTTTGTCTCCTTTTCACAGACTTCTCAGACAGAATCAGTAGAAGCCAGAGAGTGGGCTACGAGTCAGGAGAATTTGAGATCGTGAGTACCTTCTAGTCAGCACCAATGAATCACTTCACTTTTTATTCTTTTTAAAACGTGTTCCATTTCAGGGTAACAACACCATGAGGATTTTTCTATTGGCACTTGATAAAGTCAAGAGCGTGCTCTCTCTGTATTAGACTCACTTTGCTGTTGTGTAGTGTTCACTATGCCCTCTCATCTTTGCTCAGCTCGGAGAGGGCTGTGGAGTGAAGGAGACGCCCCAGCAGAAGTACCAGCGCTTGGTGAACGAGATCCAGGAACTCACTCAGGAGGTGGACGCCATCCAGGTGAACTGCCAGCGAGACGCACACATGAGCTCGAGCGCGCCTCCCTCTTGCCCACAGGACTGGGCTCTGATGATCCAGCCTTTATCTAGCTGTCTGCACACACATTCACTAGCCGTTCTACAAAGAGACTTTCCTCCGCTCTGCTCCTTGACCACATCATCATGGGAGGGGCAACCTTTTAGTTGGAACAGTTTCAAAGGTGGAATATTTCTGCCCAGTTCTTACTGTTGCACTAGAGACCTGAGCTTTGTACGGCGTGTGCACCGAAGCCTTAAATTAGCTGAAAATGAATTGATTGAAACACAGTCCAAGGAATTGCTTTTCAGACTTACAAAGACTCCTCAACCCCGAAACTAATTAAACCTTCGGTGTCATTAAATTGGATACTCGCAGAGTAGAGTCTGCTGCTCCATGAGTCCCAGCATCAAATTCAACCTGAGTTGGCAGTTCTTGTGACAGAATCCATGGGTTTTAGCTCATGCAGGTCATGCTGGCAGAACGAGCAGCCTGCTTCTCTGTTTCAGTCTCTAAATTTAAACTTGTGAAAGACCTCCGTGGAGTCATGGCCTCACTCCAAATTAAAAGTGTGGCCATTCATCAGGGTGACTGTATTGAATGGAGAAGTCCTCTGCTGCATTGCATAGGTGAGAACATACTGTAATACTGTAATGTACTTATATAGAGCAGATTTATTGAGAATAATGTGATGGTTTCATGATAGTGTGCTGAATTAGCATGCAGGGATCACACCAGATTATTATTCTCTTAATTGTGTTTTTGAATACGGGTCAAAAACAAAAGTAAACATTAAAAAAATACACCTCTGTATTTAGTTATTTAATTTGTTTACCCTAAAATATACATCCCATGCAGGAAGCTACAGTAGCTAATCCAGGATCTGTAATTCTGTTCTACTGAAATATAATATCGGAACAAATTCAATTTACATGGCGAGTGCAAAGCGTGAATGTTTACATATCCAGTATGTTTTCCCTTTTTTAAATTTGAATACCTCTGCGTTGCGTTGGTGCTTGACCTGTCACTGCCGTGTAGAACTCAGTCACTCCATGACGGCGGTGTTCCTCTGCTTCCAGTCTGCCACACAGGAAACCAACGCAGAAGAGCGCCTGACCCCGGTGGTCCTCGCCCAGCACGCCGCCCAGCTCAAGCAGCAGCTGGTCTCTGCCCACCTCGACTCGCTGCTGGGACCTCATGCACACATCAATCTGGCTGACCCAGACGGAGCACTGGCCAGGTGAGCTGGGTGACGAGGCAGTGAAGCAAGAGGACAAAACATCTGGAACCTGATGCTAATCAGACCCTTGCCGAGTGATGAGGCAGTAGGCAGGGAATGGCTGGAAAGAGGGATAAGAACAATGGTAGCTTGAAGATATAGAGGGAGTGTCAATGATAGATGGTGGGAGGGAGGAGCAGGGGAATTAATTCCAATGAGCGCACTGTAACCCAGATGTAACGAGTAAGAGAGTAACAAGGGCAAGGCAGAGCAGCTGGTATCAATCGTCCACACAAACCCCCTCCCCCCCCGCTGAGCTCAGCGTAGCACTACCTGGGGAGCACAAGCACCAATGGACGGATGATTGAGGAAGGCTAATAAAAACTTTAGAAGGAGAGAGATTACCACCAAGGCCATAGAGTGAATGAAAACGTACAGTTGCGACATTTAAGACTACATCTTTGTAGTGAAGATAGAGAGGGAAAGAGACTGACACAAGAGGGAGAAGGGGAATAAAAAGTGATGGAAAAACGGATCTAAAAAGATCCAAGCTCACCTTGACCTTGCAGTTTACAACAGAGCTTGAAAAGCAACACATGGAGTTGATAACAATATTGAACATTTAATCCTTTTGTGTCTCCTTCTTTCCTTCCTTCCCCCAGGCGTCTGCTCACCCAGCTGGAAGTGGCCAAGGGCAACCGTGGCAGCGGTGCGGGAGAGGGCAAGCCGACGGCATCGGCTAAGGGCCCAGATGGAGTGGTGCTCTACGAGCTGCACAGCAGACCGGAGCAGGAGAAATTCAATGAATCTGCCAAGGTAAAAGTGTAAAGGGAGGTAGAGGGGAAGCAGAGCAAAGTGTCTGGGAGACGAGCGCACTCGTGAAATGAGCAAATGTTGATCTGCCAGACGCCTTTTTGTTTTCATTCTCGTGAGAGGAATGTCAGAATATTTAATGGTAAATAAACGGGACAAAAGGCTTCCTGCCTGTGTGCGTGTGTGCGTGTGTGCGTGCGTGCGTGCGTGTGTGTGTGTCTTGTGGGATGCTGTTGTCACTGCCAGCCTTGTGTTGCCTTGTTCGGTCCCTGTAGATGGCGGAACTGGAGAAGCGTCTAGCTGAGCTGGAGATGGCTGTTGGCTCAGGATCAGACAAGCAGGTACACACCGACTCTCTCACACACACACACACACATCCTCTCTAATGCTTCTCTCTCTCTTTCACTCTCACACCGGTAGAATTTTCATGCTCCTGTTGCCGTGTAACCATCCGCTCACTGAAGCTGAATAAAATCTTACACTTGATTTATGTAAATGATGGCTTCATTGAGGATCAGACATTGAGGATTCTTCTTATATTTCATTGTCCCTCTTTGTGTTTCTGTTGCAGGGACCTCTGAGTTCTGGCGTGCAAGGAGCCAGTTTGATGGTAAGAAGTCAACAACTTTTTTTTGGGAGCGCACCAAGTGGAGTCTGTGTATCTGATGTGCAGCCGGAGAACTGGGTCATACTTCAAAGATGAATGACATCAGTTCCTCCCAAGTTTGTTTATTGTTGCTGTGCCAGTAGCGAGAGCAAGAATACTTGTGTGCATGCTCGTATATAACTTGTGTTTGTTTGAATCAGGCCACCATAGAGCTCCTGCAGGCGAGGGTCAGCGCACTGGACTCAGCTACTCTGGATCAAGTGGAGGCCAGACTGCAGGTAACCAATCAGCACACAGCACGGGGTTAATTGGGGAATTGGATGATTTTTATACAAATATCAGTTGCAATTTCACTGCATTCTTATTTGTACATCACGTTTCCCACGGGAACTTTGTGTCTTAAAATAAATGTTGTTTTTCTGTCTTATGGAGAGAGTTCTATAACGAGCTTGATATTTCATCTATTTGCGTTCAGTACGGTCGAGATGGTGCAACAGCTAACCCCGCAAACCCAAAGCGTATTAACAACTTATACACACAGTGTGTCTTGTGCATCTAACAAATGTTAAATTATAAAATAAGATACAGATCACAGCCCGTCCTCTGACTCTTGTATCTATTGATATCTACTACAGCTTGCCCGCTAAAAAGAATCAAAAGTAATGTTTTTACTTCAGCTATGACCGCACTGTAATTGTTTTTCAATCGGCCTCACAGAGAGAGAGAGAGAGAGAGAGAGAGAGAGAGAGAGAGAGAGAGAGAGAG